AGTTCTACAGAACTAACAAGAATAATGAGACAGACAATCTGTCCAACCACCAAACGAGTCTAGAGCAGACTGAATACTTCACGAGAGGTGAGGACACCCCCCTCGATGGTTGTTGTTGCAGCTCTCCTGTATGGTTGTTGTTGCAGCCCTCCTGTATGGTTGTTGTTGCAGCCCTCCTGTATGGTTGTTGTTGCAGCTCTCCTGTATGGTTGTTGTTGCAGCCCTCCTGTTTAAGGTTGTTGTTGCAGCCCTCCTGTATGGTTGTTGTTGCAGCCCTCCTGTATGGTTGTTGTTGCAGCCCTCCTGTATGGTTGTTGTTGCAGCTCTCCTGTATGGTTGTTGTTGCAGCTCTCCTGTATGGTTGTTGTTGCAGCCCTCCTGTATGGTTCTTGTTGCAGCTCTCCTGTATGGTTGTTGTTGCAGCTCTCCTGTATGGTTGTTGTTGCAGCTCTCCTGTATGGTTGTTGTTGCAGCTCTCCTGTATGGTTGTTGTTGCAGCCCTCCTGTATGGTTGTTGTTGCAGCTCTCCTGTATGGTTGTTGTTGCAGCTCTCCTGTATGGTTGTTGTTGCAGCTCTCCTGTATGGTTGTTGTTGCAGCCCTCCTGTACGGTTGTTGTTGCAGCACTCCTGTATGGTTGTTGTGGCAGCCCTCTTGTACGGTTGTTGTTGCAGCCCTCCTGTATGGTTGTTGTGGCAGCCCTTATGTATGGTCCTTGTGGCAGCCCTCATGTGATTGTGGCAGCCCTCATCTGATTGTGGCAGCCCTCATGTGATTGTGGCAGCCCTCATGTGATTGTGGCAGCCCTCATGTGATTGTGGCAGCCCTCATGTGATTGTGGCAGCCCTCATGTGATTGTGGCAGCCCTCATGTGATTGTGGCAGCACTCATGTGATTGTGGTAGCCCTCATGTGATTGTGGCAGCCCTCATGTATGGTCCTTGTGGCAGCGCTCATGTATGGTCCTTGTGGCAGCCCTCATGTATGGTCCTTGTGGCAGCCCTCATGTATGGTCTTTGTGGCAGCCCTCATGTATGGTCCTTGTGGCAGCCCTCATGTATGGTCCTTGTGGCAGCCCTCATGTATGGTCCTTGTGGCAGCCCTCATGTATGGTCCTTGTGGCAGCCCTCATGTATGTCCTTGTGGCAGCCCTCATGTATGGTCCTTGTGGCAGCCCTCATGTATGGTCCTTGTGGCAGCCCTCATGTATGGTCCTTGTGGCAGCCCTCATGTATGGTCCTTGTGGCAGCCCTCATGTATGGTCCTTGTGGCAGCCCTCATGTATGGTCCTTGTTGGCAGCCCTCATGTATGGTCCTTATGGCAGCCTCATGTATAGTCCTTGTGGCAGCCCTCATGTATGGTCCTTGTGGCAGCCCGCATGTATGGTCCTTGTGCAGCCCTCATGTATGGTCCTTTGTGGCAGCCCTCATGTATGGTCCTTGTGGCAGCCCTCTGTATGGTCCTTGTGGCAGACATCATGTATGGTCCTTGTGACAGCCCTCATGTATGGTCCTTGTGGCAGCCCTCATGTATGGTCCTTGTGGCAGCCCTTATGTATGGTCCTTGTGGCAGCCCTCATGTATGGTCCTTGTGGCAGCCCTCCTGTATGGTCCTTGTGGCAGACCTCATGTATGGTCCTCGTGGCAGCCCTCATGTATGGTCCTTGTGGCAGCCCTCATGTATGGTCCTTGTGGCAGCCCTCATGTATGGTCCTTGTGGCAGCCCTCATGTATGGTCCTTGTGGCAGCCCTCATGTATGGTCCTTGTGGCAGCCCTCATGTATGGTCCTTGTGGCAGCCCTCATGTATGGTCCTTGTGGCAGCCCTCCTGTATGGTCCTTGTGGCAGACATCATGTATGGTCCTTGTGGCAGCCCTCATGTATGGTCCTTGTGGCAGCCCTCATGTATGGTCCTTGTGGCAGCCCTTATGTATGGTCCTTGTGGCAGCCCTCATGTATGGTCCTTGTGGCAGCCCTCCTGTATGGTCCTTGTGGCAGACCTCATGTATGGTCCTCGTGGCAGCCCTCATGTATGGTCCTTGTGGCAGCCCTCATGTATGGTCCTTGTGGCAGCCCTCATGTATGGTCCTTGTGGCAGCCCTCATGTATGGTCCTTGTGGCAGCCCTCATGTATGGTCCTTGTGGCAGCCCTCATGTATGGTCCTTGTGGCAGCCCTCATGTATGGTCCTTGTGGCAGCCCTTATGTATGGTCCTTGTGGCAGCCCTTATGTATGGTCCTTGTGGCAGCCCTCATGTATGGTCCTTGTGGCAGCCCTCATGTATGGTCCTTGTGGCAGCCCTCATGTATGGTCCTTGTGGCAGCCCTTATATGGTCCTTGTGGCAGCCCTCATGTATGGTCCTTGTGGCAGCCCTCATGTATGGTCCTTGTGGCAGCCCTCATGTATGGTCCTTGTGGCAGCCCTCCTGTATGGTCCTTGTGGCAGACCTCATGTATGGTCCTTGTGGCAGCCCTTATGTATGGTCCTTGTGGCAGCCCTCATGTATGGTCCTTGTGGCAGCCCTCATGTATGGTCCTTGTGGCAGCCCTTATGTATGGTCCTTGTGGCAGACCTCATGTATGGTCCTTGTGGCAGCCCTCATGTTTTGGTCCTTGTGGCAGCCCTCCTGTATGGTCCTTGTGGCAGCCCTCATGTATGGTCCTTGTGGCAGCCTCATGTATGGTCCTTGTGGCAGCCCTCATGTATGTCCTGTGGCAGCCCTCATGTAGATCCTTGTGGCAGACCTCATGTATGGTCCTTGTGGCAGCCCTCATGTATGGTCTTGTGGCAGCCCTCATGTATGGTCCTTGTGGCAGCCCTCATGTATGGTCCTTGTGGCAGCCCTCATGTATGGTCCTTGTGGCAGCCCTCATGTATGGTCCTTGTGCAGCCCTCATGTATGGTCCTTGTGGCAGCCCCTCATGTATGTCCTTGTGGCAGCCCTCATGTATGTCCTTGTGGCAGCCCTCATGTATGGTCCTTGTGGCAGCCCTCATGTATGGTCCTTGTGGCAGCCCTCATGTATGGTCCTTGTGGCAGCCCTCATGTATGTCTTGTGCAGCCCTCATGTATGGTCTTGTGGCAGCCCTTATGTATGGTCCTTGTGGCAGCCCTCATGTATGGTCCTTGTGGAAGCCCTCATGTATGGTCCTTGTGGCAGCCCTCATGTATGGTCCTTGTGGCAGCCCTCATGTATGGTCCTTGTGGCAGCCCTCATGTATGGTCCTTGTGGCAGCCCTCATGTATGGTCCTTGTGGCAGCCCTCATGTATGGTCCTTGTGGCAGCCCTCATGTATGGTCCTTGTGGCAGCCCTCATGTATGATCCTTGTGGCAGACCTCATGTATGGTCCTTGTGGCAGCCCTCATGTATGGTCCTTGTGGCAGCCCTCATGTATGGTCCTTGTGGCAGCCCTCATGTATGGTCCTTGTGGCAGCCCTCATGTATGGTCCTTGTGGCAGCCCTCATGTATGGTCCTTGTGGCAGCCCTCATGTATGGTCCTTGTGGCAGCCCTCATGTATGGTCCTTGTGGCAGCCCTCATGTATGGTCCTTGTGGCAGCCCTCATGTATGGTCCTTGTGGCAGCCCTCATATGAACACATTTCGGAGACATACAATAATAACATTGTGTTACAGAACTATATAGAATTGAAAACCGAAAATAACTATGAAAAGACAACAGAAAAATAAGGATTTTTTTTATGGCTTGTTGAAGTTTAATCAATTTAGTTTAGTCTTCCCCAAGACTGTTCATAATATCGTAGCTGTGGCAGTGTTTTTCAATATGTATTAATATGTGTTCTTCTCGTAAGGGAACACTAAGCGGTTTAGCCGCAGAAATACAAAAATTTAAAAAATAATGAAAATCGTCTTTTTTTTATTACTGCTGACATTTTGCAAATGTAGTTAATAATGTTTCTTTACTGTATTGGCCTAAAGCTCTTGGGTCTCTTGAAAGTGTTCATCTTCAGGTCCTAGAGGTCTTGGGAGGCTAAGTTGATTTTACTCCCTATTTTAAGTATTAAAGTTTTGTTGACTGGTGGTAAACAGGTTCACTGTAGCTTAATGACCCTCGTATATTGATAGTAACCAACCAACCTAACCATTTTAGGAGGATTGAACTATATATTACAGGTGACTTGAGGAAGTTGAGCTGCAGCTCCTCTACCTCTTGAGGGAGTTGAGCTGCAGCTCCTCTACCTCTGGAAGGCCACTTGCCTGTACTGAGGTACAGAGGGCTGGGGTTATCTGATACAGGTAATACTACTTGGATCGTCCAGCGAGCAAAGCACATGAGTTAAGTAAGTTTATTCAGGTATACACAGTTACAGTGATTATCATACAAAGCAGCATATGTGTAGTAAGATAAGATAAGATAAGATTTCGTTCGGATTTTTAACCCCGGAGGGTTAGCCACCCAGGATAACCCAAGAAAGTCAGTGCGTCATCGAGGACTGTCTAACTTATTTCCATTGTGGTCCTTAATCTTGTCCCCCAGGATGCGACCCACACCAGTCGACTAACGCCCAGGTACCTATTTGCTGCTAGGTGAACAGGACAACAGGTGTAAGGAAACGTGTCGAATGTTTCCACCCGCCGGGAATCGAACCCGGGCCCTCCGTGTGTGAAGCGGGAGCTTTAGCCACCAGGCCACCGGGCCAAGGATAACCCAAAAAAGTCAGCGACTTATTTCCATTGGTTCATACAAGAACCACTGCCAGGGGTGAGGGACAGAAATGATGGTACAACACTGTGTACAGCTGCTGTATTCTATATGATGATTACTTTGTGGGGAATAAAGGCAAGTTATATTTCTGTGTTATATTTAGTTACATTTTATGGTTTTGATATGAAATATATTAGACTGAGGTGGGAGACCTGAGTAAGGCGATGAGGATGTCGTCCAACTTATGACTATTGGGTTCAATAGCTAACGGAGATATTCATTACTTCTTTACGTAGCTTTTGTTCCAATAACTGACCATCACTTTTCTTTTCCAGACTTATCATCTTTCGCTGTATATTCTGAATTTCTGTTGTAAGGGAGTACTGAGTACATTTGAAGAGTCGGTGCCTACTACGTACAGAGTTTAACAGAAACATTTCTTAGCAACCTTCAAAGCCAAAGTGAGGAACATACGGATATACTGGCTTCTTCAGATGAAATATACAACTGGGGTATCTTGACTTGTTCAGTTGATTAAACGTAATATTACGCCTATCTAGCCACTGGCCGCAACATCTACGCTGATGAGTCAAAATAAGACCAGAGACAGCACTTCTAACTACCATAATGGTTACTAGAATTGTAAAGATAATTACTTAATTTTTTCTATATATGGTGAACCTAAATGAGTTAGACTTTTGTTAGTTCGTCCAAGAATGGTCATTTGTCTTCCACCTCCTATATCCTCTTTCCATGGTAATTTTTTTTTTTTTAATGTATCTAAATTTTATTATATCATGTACTTGATTTGAGAGAGAGAGAGAGAGAGAGAGAGAGAGAGAGAGAGAGAGAGAGAGAGAGAGAGAGAGAGAGAGAGAGAGAGAGAGAGAGAAGGCCTGTTTTGAAATATTTTGTGAAGTAATGAAACAAAAAGATAGGGAGACGGGGCTACCCATACATACTACAGCCTCTTCGTTTCTCTGCGGTAAACCTAATTTTGGAAGAGAGAAAATTTTTACAGACTAAACAACCATATTAATATACTAAGTTTTCAGTGTGACAAGGCACTGCTAGAAACCCATCATTTCAATCCCCCACCGCCACAACACCTGTATATAACTCGCACACCCGTCACTTACCTGATGCTTGGAGGGGGTTTCGGGGGTCAATGCCCCCGCGGCCCGGCCCATGACGAGGCCTCGTGGTGGATCAGGACCTGATCAACCAGGTTCTTACTGCTGGCCGCACACAAACTGACGTACGAGCCACAGCCCGACTGGTCAGGTACTGCCTTTAGGTTACTCTCCAGCTCCTTCTTATGTATGCTGGGAGGCAGTTAAACAGCCTTGGGCCTCTGACACTTACTGTGTTGTCTCTTAGCGTGCTCGTGGCGCCCCTGCTTTTCATTGGGGGAATGCTGCATCTCTTACCAAGTCTTTTGCTTTCGTAGCGAGTGATTTTCCTGTGCAGATTTGGGACTAGTCCCTCTAGGATTTTCCAAGCGTATGTTATCACGTATCTTCCTCGCCTGCATTCCAAGGAATACAAATTAAGGGACTTCAACCGTTCCCAGTAATTTAGGTGCTTTATTGTACTTATATGTGCCGTGAAAGTTCTTTGTATATTCTTCAGGTCTGCATTTTTTTCTGCTTTGAAAGGGGCTGTTAGCGTACAGCAATATTCCAGCCTAGAGAGAACAAGCAATTTGAAGAATCATCAGTGAGCTTGGCATCCCTGGGTTTGAAGGTTCTCATTATCCATCCTATCATTTTTCTAACAGATGTGTTAGATACATTGTTGTGATCTTTGAAAGTGAGATTTTCTGACATTATCACTCCCAGATCCTTCACATTAGTTTTTCGCTCTATTGTTTGGTTGTAATTTGTTTTATACTCCTAATACAGTTTTAATTTCCTCGAGTTTTCCTGGGTGGAGTAATTGAAATTTGTCTTAATTGAACTTCATATTCTTTTCCATTTAAAGATCTGGTTGATGTCCGCTTGGAGACTTGCAATGTCTTCGATGGATGACACGTCATGCAAATTCGTGTGTCATCCGCAAAGGAGGACACGGTGCTTACATCTTGGTGGCTTACATCTCTGTCTATGTCAGAAATGAGGACGAGGAACAGGATGGGAGCGAGTGCTGTACCTTGTGGAACAGAGTTTTTTCACTAGCCACCACTGACTTGACTCTGTTTACTATTACTCTGTGTGTTCTGTTTGTTAGGAAGTTTTAGATTCACCTACCAACTTTTCTTGTTATTCCTTTATCACATACTTTGTGTGCTATTACACCATGATCGCACTTGTCGAAGGCTTTGACAAAGTCTGTGTATATTACGTCTACATTTTGTTTGTCCTCCAGAGCATCCAAGACCATTTCATAGTGGTCCAGTAGTTGGGATAGGCAGGATCGTCCTGCTATAAACCCATGCTACTCTGGGTTGTGCAACTGATGGGTATCTAAGTGGGTGACAGTCTTGCTTCTTAGAACCCTTTCGAAGATTTTTATAATGTCGGACGTTAGTGCTATCGGTCTGTAATTCTTTGTATATCCCCACTCCACCTTTACCTGGAGTTTACCTGGAGAGAGTTCCGGAGGTCAACGCCCCCGCGGCCCGGTCTGTGACCAGGCCTCCTGGTGGATCAGAGCCTGATCAACCAGGCTGTTACTGCTGGCTGCACGCAAACCAACGTACGAGCCACAGCCCGGCTGGTCAGGTACCGACTTTAGGTGCTTGTCCAGTGCCAGCTTGAAGACTGCCAGGGGTCTGTTGGTAATCCCCCTTATGTATGCTGGGAGGCAGTTGAACAGTCTCGGGCCCCTGACACTTATTGTATGGTCTCTTAGCGTGCTAGTGACACCCCTGCTTTTCATTGGGGGGATGTTGCATCGTCTGCCAAGTCTTTTGCTTTCGTAGTGAGTGATTTTCGTGTGCAAGTTCGGTACTAGTCCCTCTAGGATTTTCCAGGTGTATATAATCATGTATCTCTCCCGCCTGCGTTCCAGGGAATACAGGTTCAGGAACCTCAAGCGCTCCTAGTAATTGAGGTGTTTTATCTCCGTTATGCGCGCCGTGAAGGTTCTCTACATTTTCTAGTTCAGTAATTTCACCTGCCTAGAAAGGTGCTGTTAGTGTGCAGCAATATTCCAGCCTAGATAGAACAAGTGACCTGAAGACCTGGAGTGGGGCTATGTCTGTTGTTTATAGTGACTGTAGGATGACCCCTGTGTCCATGCTCCCTCTCCATAGAATGCTAAAGGCACGTGAAAGGGGCTTCTTGCAATTCTTTATGAACACAGGGTTCCACGAATCCGGGCCTGGGGGCAGAGTGCATGGGCATGTCATTTATTGTTTTTTTTCGAAGTCTTGTGGTATTAGAATAATATCAGAATTTTTTGAATTAACCATATTTTGAATCTCGGTCATAACAAATTCATTTAGCTTGTCGACTTTTAGTCTGGTTAACAGCTCACTAAACTCTGAATTATATTGGGACTTCAGTATCTTATTTCTTTGTTGTCATCTGTGTAAGTCCCGTCTTGTTTAAGCAGGGGTCCAATACTGGATGTTGTTTTTGCTATAGATTTGGCATAAGAAAAGAGCATTTAGTTTTTTTTTTTAATTTTCACTGATGGCTTTAAGTTATTCCTGTGTTTCTCCTGCATGATTCCTTAAGCTTAAGTTCGATATTTGCTATTTCTCTGACCAGTGCCTCCTTCCGTATTTTGTAGATACTGCCCACTTTCAGCAGCTCTGTGATTCTTCGCCTTTGCCTGTATGGGAGCATCTCTCTCTTTCTAGTTTACATCTTCTCTTCTTTTTTCTTAAAGAATGTGCCCTGAGCATACCTCAAGGCAAAAGTTCAGATCCATGTTATTTAGGATATCTTCCCATCTTGTTTCATTTAGGACATGGTTGATTTTATCTCACTGTATGTTTTTGTTATTGAAATGGAATTTGGTGAAGGCACCATCATAGCTAAATTATTAGATGCAACATCCAAAATATATAATTTTCTTGAAAATAGGCGTGCTGAAAACCTAGTGTTGGGGCTCCGTAAAGCTAGTGGTGTAACAATATAATAATATATAAAATAAAAGGACACAAGTGCAACTAATGTGACATTTTATTGTTTCTAATACAATTAAACAAAACAACGGCAGCTTCACCATCTCTGAAGTCTTAGCAAGAATCCTCCTGAAAACAGTAAACCCTGCCATCACATAGTCTCTCCTGTTAACACTACACAAGCACATTACAGAGAATGAACATTGAAACAGACCTTCTCTTTCCAGCCTCCAATAGAAATATTTGTCTAACCTATTTTTATATTTCCCAAGTAATAGCTTTTATATCCTTTTACTCATGTGCAAGTTAATTGTGCCACAATAAAATGCTACATTAGTTGCACTTGTGTCCTTTTATTTTACATATTGTCGGTAATTCTACCAACTTTATTACAATATAATAATAGAGGTTGGAAGCAGGAAACAGCTCCCTGCCCTTGTATGGGTTAACATCAATGCTAGTGAAGGGCTCTTGAGCTAAGAAAAGAGAGTTATCCTCCCTTGCCTTGGTTCAAACCTTATTAACTCCCGTTTCCCATGTGATGTATTATCCCTATGGGTAGGATATGTCATAGGAAGGTTGTGGGTGGGGATGAAGAGCCAGGCGAGAATGAGTTAACTGGTCACCTTTAAGCTTTGGTTTAAGTAATGTTCTCATCACAGTTTTGAAATTTCTATATATCTGTAGTGCATTAAGCTGGGTAAAATATTTATATTATAAATCCTTGCAGGTGTGATAATATACACGAGGCGAGTCGTTGTACCGAGACAAGAACAGCTACAACACAGCAGTAGAAGATAACATACACTAATTTAAGTTTACATAAACGACTGAATTATCTTCTTGAGCGACGTGTGAGGATCACTGAAGTAGTTAAACACCAGCAGCAGGAACGGTGCAGTAGTGAGCCACTTATTAGCGGCAAGAGAAAGAATACTGCGATAGTGAGCCACGGGCCAGCAGAAAAAAGAACGCCGTAGGAGCATTATACATAAACGCTGATATTGTGACATTAGGATGCTGAGGGAGAAGAAGAAGGCCCTCTGGAAAATTATTATTGTCGTCCTGATCTTCGTCAACTGTGCTATGTAAGTACGGTAATATGTGACTTGATCTTCGTCAACTGTGCTAAGTACGGTATCAGTATCCTGATCTTCGTCATCTGTGCTAAGTACATTATCACGTGTAACATGTTAATGATGATATACAATGCCGACATTTTTTGGGCCACTGTTGAAGGGTATTGAAGACTAACAATCTTAATCACTTACCCAGGGTGTTGAAGACTTACATCCCTCAAAGAAGGTTCCTTGATGCTGGTGAGGGGCTCTTGATCTAGAGAATTGAATTTGTGCTGCAGTTCCCTGAATTAAGCCTGAATACCTTCCACATCCCCCCACAGGCGCTGCATAATCCTAGGGGTTTAGCGCTCCCCCTTGATTATAATAACAATAATAATGAAGACTAACAATCATAATCACTTACCCAGTGTGTTGGGCAAACTTAATCATCATGGTAGTCCATGACTAACATTTCATACAACAGAACACAGTGTAACGTCAAGGATAAAATATACATACTGACAGCAGGAGACGACGATCTAGAAGTCAGGTTACTCTATACTTCTCTGTGTACTTTGCATCCAATGCTAATTTAATGGAAAGAAAACATAAGTGGATAATTGTAGCAGTGGTAGCTGTCAAGTGTGAAAAATTGTAGTAGTGGCAGCTGTCAAGTGTGAAAAATTGTAGCAGTGGTAGCTGTCAAGTGTGAAAAATTGTAGCAGTGGTAGCTGTCAAGTGTGAAAAATTGTAGCAGTGATAGCTGTCAAGTGTGAAAAATTGTAGCAGTGGTAGCTGTCAAGTGTGTGAAAAATTGTAGCAGTGGTAGCTGTCAAGTGTGAAAAAATTGTAGCAGTGGATAGCTGTCAAGTGTGAAAAATTGTAGCAGTGGTAGCTGTCAAGTGTGAAAAATTGTAGCAGTGGTAGCTGTCAAGTGTGAAAAATTGTAGCAGTGGTAGCTGTCAAGTGTGAAAAATTGTAGCAGTGATAGCTGTCAAGTGTGAAAAATTGTAGCAGTGGTAGCTGTCAAGTGTGAAAAATTGTAGCAGTGGTAGCTGTCAAGTGTGAAAAATTGTAGCAGTGGTAGCTGTCAAGTGTGAAAAATTGTAGCAGTGGTAGCTGTCAAGTGTGAAAAATTGTAGCAGTGGTAGCTGTCAAGTGTGAAAAATTGTAGCAGTGGTAGCTGTCAAGTGTGAAAAATGTAGCAGTGGTAGCTGTCAAGTGTGAAAAATTGTAAGCAGTGGTAGCTGTCAAGTGTGAAAAATTGTAGCAGTGGTAGCTGTCAAGTGTGAAAAATTGTAGCAGTGGTAGCTGTCAAGTGTGAAAAATTGTAGCAGTGGTAGCTGTCAAGTGTGAAAAATTGTAGCAGTGGTAGCTGTCAAGTGTGAAAAATTGTAGCAGTGGTAGCTGTCAAGTGTGAAAAATTGTAGCAGTGGTAGCTGTCAAGTGTGAAAAATTGTAGCAGTGGTAGCTGTCAAGTGTGAGAAAAATTGTAGCAGTGGTAGCTGTCAAGTGTGAAAAATTGTAGCAGTGGTTAGCTGTCAAGTGTGAAAAATTGTAGCAGTGGTAGCTGTCAAGTGTGAAAAATTGTAGCAGTGGTAGCTGTCAAGTGTGAAAAATAGCTGTATCCTCTTTCAAAGCTGCTACGTTGTAGGAAATATACTCACCTCTCTCTCTTTATTTATTTATTTATTAATTTGAACATGATACAGTGAAGTACAAAAGAATACAGTTAAATGCAGCATGCCAAAGCCACTTGAATGCATAGCATTACGGGCAGGCTTAAAATTAACTTAAGATTAACTAAGCAATGAAGTATTAAATGGTAAAACATTATTGTAAACAGATAACAATTAAGCACAAATGAGTATTACAAAAACAGGTCGATGGTTGCTGCATGATGTACAATCAGTATTTATTTATTTATAGGCATAATTAATTAACCTAAATTAACAAGCAATGATATATTCAGGAAAATATTGAAAACATTATAATTTAGTACAATGATTATTACAAAAAGTTATAAGGTCCTTATTTGCTGGATGTCATTAGAAGTTATATTGTAATGAATAAATATAAATAAAGTTTGATTGGGCTCAAAGTGCATTTATGAAAATAATGAGATACATATATGAGATAAATTTATGAGATACAATTTTCAGTATTTATTTAGTTGTGTGAGTAACTGATTTTTGAGAAGAGACTTATTTTGTAACAGAGAGTGTTCTTTTATATTCACAGGTAATATTCAGATTTTAGGGCCTTTATGTGCATTAATTTTTGCATAGCGTGAGATGGAACGAGGTAACTCAAGGTGTTTTGTCTTGTCGTTATGGTCATGTGTTTGTAAGGTTGGCAAGGAGATGTTTGAGGGGGGTTAATATCAGAGTTAAGTGTTCTATGTATGTAATAGGTGCAGTAATAAGTATGGATGTTTTGAATTGTGAGTAGGTTTAGAGTTTTGAATATTGGTAGAGTGTGCTGTCTGTAGTGGGAATTTGTTATCATTCTGACTGCAGCCTTTTGTTGGGCGATTAGTGGTCTGAGATGGTTTATTGTTGTTGAGCCCCATGCACAAATTCCTTAGGTGAGATAGGGGTAAATAAGTGAGTGATATAGGGCCAGGAGGGCTGACTGTGGAACATAGTACCGTATCTTTGATAGTATGCCTAAGGTCTTGGAATTTCTTTTGGAAATTTATTGTATATGTGTTTGAAATTTGAGTCTATTATCAAGGTGGATTCCTAAGAATTTTCCCTCTGTGAGTTTTGTGATAGGTGATCCATTTATCATTATGATTAGAGACACATCTGTAGCTCTGTTACCAAACTGAATGTAGTAGGTTTTGTCAATGTTTAGTGTAAGTTTGTTAGTCCTCATCCAGGTTGATATTTTCTGTAATTCGGTATTTACAGTATTGGCTAGCATGACTGGGCTCGGGTGAGAGTAGACGTATGTGGTGTCATCTGCAAATAGTGTGGGTTTGAGTAGTTGCGATGCATTTGGTAGGTCATTTATGTATATGAGAAAGATAAGAGGGCCAAGGACACTTCCCTGTGGGACACCAACTGTAATTGGCTGTGCGGAAGAGTTTGCCCCATTTGTGTTCACATATTGGCTTCTGTTGCTGAGGTATGACTTTAGGTAGTTGAGGGAGTGCCCTCTTATACCATAGTGCGACAATTTCATGTGGAGCAAGTCATGGTCAACTGTATCGAAAGCTTTACGTAAGTCAATGAAGATCCCCAGTGAGACTTCTTTTTTCTCTATTGCTGTATAAATATGTTCTAGCATGTGGATAATAGCATCATTAGTATTTTTATTAGGCCTGAACCCAAATTCACAGGGGTTGAGTATGTTGTGGGAGATGAGGTAGGAATAGATACGCTTAAGGATTAATTTTTCAAAGATTTTAGAGAGGGTGTAAGTTGGATATTGGCCTATAGTTATTCAAGTCTGTGTGGTCTCCTCCTTTATGGATCGGGGTGACCCTTGCTATTTTGAGAACTGTAGGAAAGGTAGAGGATTCAATGGATTTATTAAAGAGTGTTGCAATGATTGGTGATAGCACCTGTGACACTTTTTTGTATATAATGGGTGGTAAGGTATTTAAATCTCCTCTTTGTTTTTTAGTTTGTTGATAATAAGGGAGACTTCAGTTGGGTTAGTCGGAGCTAGGAACAGTGTGTTCGGGTAGTTGCTAGTGAGGTAGTCATTGGGTGGGGTATCTGAGCTTGGGATTTTATTGGCAAGGTTTTTTCCTATAGTGGAGAAGAAATCATTGAGTCTGTTTGCTGTTTCAGTAGGTAGGAATTGGGGTTCATCTGGTTTTGTTAATTCAATTTCGCTATTTCGTGTTAACTTTTTTGTTCCTAGTATTTCTGATAGGGTTTTCCAGGTCTTTTTTATGTCACCTCGTAAGTTGGATAATCTGTTCTCATAATACAATTTTTTAGCCCTTCTTATTAGGCTGGTTAGGATTGACAAGTAACGTTTTGTTTGGTCTCTGGTTATATGGCCCATTCTGTACTGTTTTTCGTATTGGTGCTTTGTATTTGTGGATTTGAGAATGCTGGGTGTTAGCCAGGGACTGTTCAGTCTCTTCGCAGTCATCTGTTTAGTTTTTTTAGGGCAGTGCTTGTTATAGAGGTATTGGGTCTTTTTTAGAAAATTATTAATACATTCGTCAATATCTGTATAGATTTCTAGCTTAGTGTGCCAGTCAATGTTTGTCACTGCTGCTGTGAAGTTATTGATAGCTGCCTTATTGTGAAGTCTGAAAGTGACTTTAGTAGTGTCTAGGGGTAATTTGCCAAGGCTTGTTATGAGGAAGGTTGGGTAGTGGTCTGTGGTAAAATCTGTGATTATGCCTGATCTTAAGGGGGATATGGTGTTGGTCCAGATGTGGTCTAGTAGGGAAACACTAGTCTCTGTGACTCTCTCTCTCTCTCTCTCATAGATATATGTGCCCCTATTTACTTTGCTAGTATAACTGCTTATGATACCATCAGCGATTGTTTCCTTAAATGTATAAAGACGTGTGTATACTGTAAATCTATAATTATATGTACCTGGTATGTAATATTACATGTGTGTATAATTATTTCAGCCTGTGTGTATACTGTACTCTGTATATAACTATGTATTCTTAGGCATATAATAAATTTGTGTTGTATATATTAACACATGTATTTAGATACGTCGTCCAAATTTCTTTCTCTCCCCTCCTTTACCTCTCTCATATATATATAAATATATATATATATATATAATATATATATATATATATATATATATATATATATATATATATATATATATATGTGATCTTATTGCATATATATATATATATATATATATATATATATATATATATAAAATATATATATATATATATATATATATATATATATATATATATATATGTCGTGCCGAATAGGCATAACTTGCGATCTTGGCTTAAATAGCAACGCTCATCTTGCCATATAGGACAAGTGAAAATTTGTGTATGCAATAATTTCGCCCAAATCATTCTGAACCTAACGAAAAAAATATATTTGATTGTGTTTGTTTAGTACTGAATTATGGTAAACGTATTTAAAATATATTTAGTTGGGTTAGGCTTAAATAAATTGCTCTTGTTATAATTAGGTTAGGTAAGTTTTCTAAGATTCTTTTGGTGCAAAATTAAAATTTTTTACATTAACATTAATGAAAAAATATATCTTTCAACGTATGCTAATTGACCAGTTTTACATATTCGGCACGACATATATATAATATATGTCGTGCCGAATATGTAAAACTGGTCAATTAGCAAGAACTCATTTAAAATTAAGTCCTTTCTAAAAATTTTCTCTTATACGTTTAAAGATATATTTTGTTCATTAATGTTAATGTAAAAAAAAATAATTTTGCACCAAAAGAATCTTAGAAAACTTACCTAACTTTATTATAACAAGAGCAATTTATTTTAGCCTAACCCAACTAAATATATTTTAAATACGTTTACCATAATTTAGTACTAAACAAACACAATCAAATATATTTTTTTCGTTAGGTTCAGAATGATTTTGGCGAAATTATTGCATACACAAATTTTCACTTGTCCTATATGGCAAGATGAGCGTTGCTATTTAAGCCAAGATCGCAAGTTATGCCTATTCGGCACGATATATATATATATATATATATATATATATATATATATATATATATATATATATATATATATATATATATATATATATATATATATATATACAATGCCTGCACTTTAAAGGAGGGGTTTGGGATATTGGTAGTTTGGAGGGATATGTTGTGTATCTTTATACATATATGCTTCTAAACTGTTGTATTCTGAGCTCCTCTGCAAAAGCAGTGATAATGTGTGAGTGTGGTGAAAGTGTTGAATGATAATGAAAGTATTTTCTTTTTGGGGATTTTCTTTCTTTTTTGGGTCACCCTGCCTCGGATGGAGACGACCAACTTGTTGAAAATATATATATATATATATATATATATATATATATATATATATATATATATATAATATATATATATATATATATATATATATATATATATGTTGCCCTGTCTTCTGATGCAGATATCCTCAAAAAAAAAAATTCATTTTTGTAGTATGGGATAGGCCAACTTGAGATGTCAGTTAATAATTCCCAGATAACAGTAACTCCGGCTGTGCTGGAAACCTCTGTCAACATAGTTGCTGATCCCTGTGTTATATAGCATAGCATATTAGTATCATCCATGTGCTTTAGATACGAGATCCCTTGTAGGCCTGTGACTTTGTGTGACGTCACGGGATGCGCATGTGTAGGCTCGTACCTCTGCCTCCCTCTCAGTCGGCGTAGACCTACAGGAGAAGACAGGCAGAGGCTGGGCTCCACATTCATCATCACAGTCTGACAATATATATGTTACCATCCAACAAGTGTGTCTACCTTAAACCCTCGATATCTCCATTTAAGAACCCCTTACGATACCTCTGGTGATGTCCTTTTCATCCTATTAAAGTCTTTCTGGGATTTTATATTACCTAAATTTTAGTAAAGGTATGTTAGGCGACTAGGTTAGATTTGGTAAAAAAAAAGAATTGGCATATGAACAATACCTACTTAACGTTGTTAAAAAAGGCAAAACCTGCAGTTTTCAGGACTGTCTTGCCACAGGTTGAGAACTGACTGCTAATGAGAATATTTTTTTTCAGGGTGCTCTTGAAAGATGATAACGCGTTTGTGTTGTACGAGCGCTTGCTGAGTACTTCCTCCAGCAGAG